TTAAATGAGGTCTGTGGGCCCCTTCGTCACTGGTCATAACTTTTTCATTCCTGGATAGGGAGAATTAATGCCATAAAAATGAACATTCCTTCCAAGGTTCCTATTTCTATTTCAAATGCAGCTTATAGCACTCCCTCCTACTTTCTTAAGATTGATACGTTCCACTACCTCCTAATACATTTGGTGCTGGAAGAAGGCAAGAATTGCCTATGCTATCTTGATCACCGCTAAATCATCTGGAGGCTTACCTCTACCAGATTTCAAGCATTATTATCAAGCTGCTGTTTTGGTCAGATTGATGAATTGTAAATATGATCAATCCACTAAACTCTGGGTATCCTTAGAGTTTGATACATGTAAAGCTGATTTGAGCGTGATTTGTTGGATACCAAACGGTCCTTACCTAACAATACTCACCCATTGATATTGAAGACCTTTGCAACCTGGCATTCTCCGCATACGAAATTCGGTTGGTTATATAACTCCCACATGATGCCATCATTATTTCCCCCTCGGTTTTCTAGATACCCATTTTCTTATGTGGGCTGGGGAAGAGGGGCTACTTCTACACCATGTAATGGAAAAATGTTCCTTAAAATCTCTAAACTCTATGTGTGAGTCATCTGACCCTTCACTATGGATACATGGAGACACCACAAATTGTTTAATTTTTTCCAGACTGTACCAAAGCCCATTAGATCCACACAGGAACTTCACCCCCTGGAAGAATTACTTTTGCAGGACTGCACGATTGGGAAGTCTCTCTTTATTGTACAAATTTTTTTTCTGACTCAGCATTTCTCAGTGACCTGCATATTTGTTGCAATGGGAGCAAGATCTTGGGGTGCCTTTATTGTATTCCCAAAAAACAAAGGTTTTAGAGCTAGCTCACGTTTCCTCCATGTTCTCTCACATTGCTGAGATGAACTTGAAACTCCTCTCCAGATAGTATTATACTCTGGCTAGGCTGCATGCAATATCCTCAGAGTACTCCTCACTTTGCTGGAGAGGGTGTGGCGCTGTGGCAACTTGTGCCATATGGTGTCACTGCCCTGTAATTAGTAAATATTGGTCGACAATTTTTGAGATTATTTGTTCCATACAGGGTGCTCCCATTTGCTTTTACCCATGGACTTTGTTGTTTCATGGTACAGGAGAGGCGGTAGGCTGTTATAAAAGGTCTATTACTCCACATCTGTTGAACTCCACTAAATCACTTATTCTGCTATATTAGTGAAGCACCCTCAATGAGAACATGGTTTCATAAAATGGATCAAATTTGTGTCTTGTAAGAATGAACCCATAGTGGTAAAAACACTTTACTTTTACTTTAATAAGATCTGGTCTTGTTGGCTTGGTTATAAAACTACTGAGTCACATTTGACTGTAAGGCATTCCTCTTCATAACACCACAAAGCTAGCCACTTTCCCTGGATCCCCCTTGTGTTACCTGTTGTGGTATGATTGCCATACTTTTTTCTTGATATTTAGCTCTGGGGGTCATTGTAGACCACAGACTGAGTAATAGCTTGCAGTGCCAGGCTGCTGTAAACAAAGCAAGTAGAGTCCTATCCTGTATTAAGAAAACGCCTGTTCCCAAGACCACCCAGCAAGAACCTTCACGTTTCCTGGCTACATCTCAGCTGGACGTGGAGGATCTTGAGGAATGGACTGCTTGTTCAGAGGAGGAGGATTGCAGTGACTGCTCTGAGGCTGTGGATGATCCTCTGGCATACTCAGGGTTAATTCCAGCTCAGCCTGCTCTGGATCCAGTCCTACCTGTTCCTGTTCGAGACGATCCTGTTCCAGTTCGAGATGATCCTATTCATATTCCAGCTGATCCAGTTCATGTTCCAGCCGATCCCGTTCCAGTCCAGCCGATGCCAGTTTCAGTCCGACCTGCTTCTGAGCCAGCCCTACCTGCTTCGCTGCCAGTTCCCGGCCAACCTGCCCTGGTGCAAGATGCTTCGTCCCTGCGGCTTCCTTTATCCACGGCCCTCCATGCTATCCCAAGGGGCTCCCTTCACCTTTTGGACAGACTTGCCCATTCAAGCAAGTGGGGTCCTCTGCCCATTTCTTAAGACTCCTTGCCTTCTGGCCTCCGCTATAGTTTTGGAGTATACCACAAGTCCTGAAACCACGTATCAACAGGGCACCTGCTGCCCAGCTCTTTGTTTTTGATCCTGTGCCTGTTTTCCGTCTCCTTGCCTCTGCTGATCCGGTGCCCTGGGGGCGTGTCCAACTGAACTTTGTGGGACTGTCGCCCACTGCCTGCTTGGGTCCTGGTATCCATGGCCTTCCTGTTGGGACTTCCGCTGGCCTATGGAGATTCCTGCCGGATCCAGGACTGGAGCTGAGCCCTGCACTGCAGTTTCCGTACTCACCTACAGGGGTCTCCAGGCAGCCAGGAACTGCTGGGTACCAGACCTTCTGCTGCAACTCCAGTGCTCACCTGTGGGTGTTTCCCAGCTGCCGCCAATCATCCGCCGCCAATCATCCACCACCTGGTGCTCCCTGGGAGGGTACTTAAGCCCTCCCTGCAGTCAGGTCTGTGGCTCAGTATTGTTTCCTGTTTAGCTTGAGTCGCCAGTCCTGTAACCTGCTTCTGTTCCCGAGTCCTGTAACCTGCTTCTGTTCCCGAGTACTGTAGCCTGCTTCTGTTCCCGAGTCCTGTAATCTGCTTCTGTTCCCGAGTCCTGTAACCTGCTTCTGTCCCCGAGTCCTGTAACCTGCTTCTGTTCCCGAGTCCTGTAACCTGCTTCTGTCCCCGAGTCCTGTAACCTGCTTCTGTCCCCGAGTCCTGTAACCTGCTTCTGTCCCCGAGTCCTGTAACCTGCTTCTGTCCCCGAGTCCTGTAACCTGCTTCTGTCCCCGAGTCCTGTAACCTGCTTCTGTCCCCGAGTCCTGTAACCTGCTTCTGTCCCCGAGTCCTGTAACCTGCTTCTGTTCCTGAGTCTTGTTGCCCTGATCCCCAGGTTTTCCTGCCCTGTTATACCCTGTGTGGGTATTCTGTGGTTTGCTCATAGTTTTGGTTACTTTATGTTATCCATTTGTATGTTCTTGGTTTGTGTTATGTTTTGCTCCTTATAATAAATGGTATAACATACATTCTGCCTTGTCCTGTGTGGTCACACGTGTTTGGTCTGCCTGTGTGGGTACCAGCGCAGGTGTGGGGTCACCTGTGCCGGTATCCCTGACAGCCACTCTACAGATCACTGGTTCAGCCTCATCTGGAGTATGCGGTCCAGTTTTGGGCACCAGTCCACAGTAAGGATGTCCTCGAACTGGAAAGAGTCCAGAGGAGGGCAACTAAGCTCATTAAGGGGATGGAGGACCAGAGCTATGAGACAAGGCTACTGAATTTAAATATGTTCTCAGGGGGGACATGATTTTCATGTACAAAATGTTCAATGGTGATAGCAACATTAGCAACAAACTCTTTACAGTTAACTCCATAACGAAGACTAGAGGCCACAACCTAAAACTGGTGGAGAATTTTTTTTAGCACAAGGGGTTCTTCTCAGTTAGAGCGGTTAAGGTCTGGAACTCGCTGCCACATGCAGTGATTTCAGTTAAGAGTGTGGAATCGTTCAAGAAGCTTTTGAACAACTTCCATAGGTACTAGAGGCCACAACCTAAAACTGGTGGAGAATTTTTTTTAGCACAAGGGGTTCTTCTCAGTTAGAGCGGTTAAGGTCTGGAACTCGCTGCCACATGCAGTGATTTCAGTTAAGAGTGTGGAATCGTTCAAGAAGCTTTTGAACAACTTCCAGGGGTACATGTTCTTTTAAGAATGGGATCACACAAGGACCTATACATAAACACACACCAGTAGAATCATATATATGCACACAATAGGTTGGACTTGATGGACTTATGTCTTTATTCAACCTCAAATACTATGTAAGATATGTGTGTCCACGGTTAAGTGTTGACAGGGTCAGGACATGGCTCATGCTTTTTCTGTTTTCTTCTTCTATTTAATTGTTCCTTTTTTTTCCTTACTTAGTCAGCTGTGCTATTCTTTTTCCAACTATTTTATAGCCAACAAATGGTAATACATGTTTTCAATGCTGTTCTCTGATGCGTTAGCATACCCTCCACCTACATCGAGCAACTTTGACTATTCGATTTTATTTTAGTATAGTGCATAAACAGTTGACTATTGTTTTGTAATGTCTTTATTCATTCTTTCTTTCTGTTTTGTTATATTGTATAAAATAAAAAATAAATAAAAATGTTTTTAAAAAAAAGACTGAAAGAAGAGCACTAATGCAATCACTACCGTAGATGTAAAAACTGGTAAGCTGCAATATATACAATTTTTGGTTTTGGATTTACCGTATTTTGCGGTCCATAAGACGCACCGGACCATAGGACGCAGGGAGGTCCGGCGCGCCTTATGGAGCACTCGAGGCTGTAGCTTCTGTGACAGCTTCTATGACAGAAGCTGTGACAGAAGCTGCAGTTAGTGACCGCTGAGACAGGTGGCACTGTGATTACAGCGCCACGGTCTCAGTGATGACACAGAGCAGGCGAAGAACGTCTATTCTTCGTCTGCTCTATGGTTATCTCGATCGTCGCCGCTGCTCGGTTTTAATACGAGTGATCTCATTAGATCACTCGTATTAAACGAGCAGTGGCTCCTGCTGCTGAACTCGATCGCCGCCGACGCTGCTCGGCTTTAATACGAGTGATCTCGTTAGATCACTCGTATTAAACGAGCAGTGGCTCCTACTACTCGCCCGGCGCCCGAAACTGCATGTCTCGGGCGTCGGGATTCGCTCCATAAGACGCAGGCACTTTTTCCCCCTCCTTTTGGGGGGAAAAAAGTGCGTCTTATGGAGCGAAAAATACGGTAGGTATGCTTTCAGACTCTGACCCCCTGTTTAAAAATAAAAACTGTGGGTAGATGAATCCGAAATGTTATATTTGCATTGTTAGATTTGTTTAGAAATGTTGTCTGCCTTCATCTAATAAATTAGTCTCTCTATTTGCAGTTTTCTTTTCCCCTCAATGTTATGATGGCAAATTTGTGGCTGTTCTCTCCAATCATTAGCAGGTAAGCATTCTGAATTTCACAAGCTAATGCTGTTGAAAGATAATTACTGTAAATGTGCAGCTGGCTTAATAATGTCATTAAAAATCATGTTTATCTTTATTTTTAGAGTATTAGAAACAACTCCTTCAAGCAATGCCTTGGTGCGGACCACAAGTGCATTAACTATCTTTAATTCTGGACTAAAGGTATCACTGTTGATATATTACTGGAAAAACACTGCCATTATAAAGTAAAATACTGTATATGTACAGCATCAACAAAAGTCTGTTTTAAAAAAAAATATATATATACATATACACAGTCATGGCCAAAAATATTGGCACCCCTGCAATTCTATCAGATAATGGACCACTTCACGCAGAAAATTGTTGCAAATTACAAATGTTTAGGCGGTCTCATGTTTACTTCTTTTGTTTGTATTGGTATGACACAAAAAAATTGCGGAAACAAAAAAACAAACCCATTCCACACAAAACTCCAAAAATGGACGGGACAAAATTATTGGCACCTTCACCAAATGGATAAAGACCCTCCATCAACTTCCAGACAAATTCAAGCTGGCCTTCAGGCACAGGGTACAACTGTGTCAGCTCGCACTATACGTGGCCATCTGAATGAAAAGGGATGCTATGGACCGAGGAGGAGCCCACTGCTGACACAGAAACATAAAAAAGCCAGATTGGAGTTTGCCAAAACATACCTGAGGAAGCCAAAATCCTTTTGGGATAATGTGCTGAGGACAGACAATCAAAATTCCAGCTTTTTGGTAAAGCCCATCATTCTGCTGTTTTCAAAAAAAGAAATTAAGCCTTTAAAGAAAAAAAATACAGTCCCTACAGTCAAACATGGTGGAGGGTCACTGATGTTTTGGGTTTGCTTTGCTGGTTCAGGCACTGAATGTCGTGACTATGTGCATGACATTATGAAATCTGAAGACTACCAAAGAATTCTGGGGTGCAATGTAGGGCCCAGTGTCAGAAAGTTGGGTATGGTCAGAGGTCATGGGACTTAAAGTAGGGCAATGACCCAAAGCACACGTCAAAAAGCACCCAGAAATGGTTTTCAGACAAAGTACTGGAGAGTACTGGACTGGCCAGATCTAAATCCCATTGAGCACCTGTGGAGAGATCTCAAAACAGCAGTTGGGAAAAGGAACCCTTCCAATCTGAGAGACCTGGAGCAGTTGGCAAAAGAAGAGTGGTCCAAAATTCTTGTAGAGAGGTGTAAGAAAATCAATGACGGTTACAAGAAGCGATTGATTTCTGTTATTTTTTTCCAAGGGCTGTGCTACCAAATATCAATTGATGGTGCAAAACATTTTGTCCAGTCCATTTTTGGAGTTTGGCATGGAATGTGTCAGGTTTGGCTTTTTTTCCCTCAACTTTTTTGTGTCATACCAATACAAACAAAATAAATAATCATGGGAATGCCTAAACATTTGTAATTGCAACAATTTTCTGAGTGAAATGGTTCCTTCATCTGACAGTAATGCAGGGGTGCCAATATTTTTGGCCATGACTGTGTGTGTGTGTGTATGTGTGTGTATATATATATATATGTATGTGTGTGTATATATATTATTACATTACAAAGTGCAACCTTGATAATGGATTTCCAGAACACTATAGTATTTTTAAAATCAATTTTTACTTATTCACATTGTCATGCTGAAATTGGCAAGATCAAATTTTAAAGTGCATTTCCACTTTTGCAGTCAAATTTAAGACAACCATACCTAAATATAATTTTTTACAAATATCTATTTACTTTTGGTGTCTGTGTAGCAGACATTTGCAATCTTCACTCTCAATTTTTCTCAATTTCAAGTGGCAGGAAACTCTGCCCCCATAGAAAGAAAGACTAGAGACCGTTTGAGCTTCCCCTCATAAAGTGACACTAAACTCAGGAGTTAAAGCTTAAAAATGCAATTAAGTACCCTAATAACAAAAATGTATCTTATTTGTGTATTACTTGGATGTAGATCCTCAAGTCATCTCTGAACTGGTGCTGACACGGTTCTTCCTTCTGGAGGGTGGTTAATTTTGTTCCCCATGATCCCTGTGTGTGATGCAAAATAGCCACCACTCCAAGCTCACTCCCATGATGGACTACACATTCATGTTTAGTTTGTTAATTTGTATTAAGATTGTAGTCTATTACAGGAGTGAGCTTGGAGGGGTGGCTACTTTACAACACACACAGGGACCATGGGGAACAAAACTAGCTACCCTCCAGAAGAAAGAATAGTGCAAGCACAAATTCAGAGATGATTTGAGGATCTACAACAGTGATACACAAATAAGATACAGTTTTGTTTATAGTTAAGGTATTAAAATGCAGTTTTAAGGTTTAGCTCCTGAGTTTAGGGTCACTTTTATATAGAACACTTATAGATTGTGAACCCTTCATTAAGACAGACATTTTTCAAATCTAGTTTACAACTGTTAATGTGATCTGCCAGCACAGTACAGCCAGGATTAATTATGTTAACATTAAAGTGCAAATTAACCCAAAACTTTTTGGAGTTTTGAGCAATTGGAACACCTGTCATTTTTTGTTGCAGTCTATTTTGACTCCAATTATTGAAATAGTGATTTATCCCTTTCTGAGACCTCTATGCCTGGCTTGTATACACCAGATACAATCACCGCAGACAATCTTCATCAGATAGCTGAACTCACCAAAAATACCTTTCATCCACGAAATCTTTATTGAATGCAGGTTACTAGCAGACAATAGGTTACTAGCAGACAATAGGTTACTAGCAGACTACAGCAGATGGTTGAAATGACGGTATTTGCAGGTCAAAAAAGGGTAATGCCTTCCTCCCCATGTGAACATGTGGCTACAAATGACAGAATGAAACACACACAGGAAGGAGGATTTACATCATAAAAAGGGAGAGAACACAGAAAAGGAGATGCAATAAACAAAATAACCCCAAGATGGCAGCATACCAAATATTAATGCATTGAATACAAGCCCACCGCCTCCTATCAGATGCCGTAGTATACACTAAATTGACAGGTAACCCTACGGCCGAGTACCAGAAAGTACTAAATAGGTTACTGGACAAGTAGTCTGATGGCATCATCTCCAATGCGGAGTTCAAGTATATTATGATTAGGGATGAGCCGAGTGTTTGGTTCGAGCATGAGTTCGAATCGAACATCGGCAGTTCGAGCGTTCACCGAACGCAGAAGTTCATGGGCTGTTCGCGGTTTGTTCGACCGTGGACATTCCATAAGGCAAAATGCCCTCTGAAGCTTGGATTTGTTAAAGTCTTGCACCTGACCAGAGGTCAGGTGCAAGACTTTGCCCAATCAGGGCTCAGTATTGAATTAGAGCCATGATTGGGCAAAGTCACGATGACTCAATCATGGCCTGCCTATCAGATGTCGGTAAACTACACAATTGGGCGGAGCTAGCTGTCAATGCTATTTGTGTATGTTTTGAGTATGCCCAATTGTGTATGTTTTGCCGGCATCTGTCAAAATGATATTATGCGGCGGGGAGCGGACAGGACGGCAGCCGGCGTTTTAAAAAAATTATTATTTCTCTTTATTGTTTTATTTTTTATATTGTCGTCATTGTGGACAACGCTGATTGACCGCAAATTACGTCGGTGGATCCATTTTTTTATTTTTGAAATAAGACTTGTCAAAAACATGTCTTTTGTTTTTTTTTTCCAAATAAAGGATTTTATCAAAAGTCTGGACTTTTTAATAACTATTTTATTTAACCCTTTAGTGAATGGGTAGGGGTACAAGTACCCCTTACTCATTCACAAGGGAGTGAATGAACCTTAAAGAGGTACCCCGATGCAAATAAGCCCGCTTGCCCACAGACCCCCACAACCACCGGGTCAGGGTTTTGGGGAGAGGCCCTTGAGTTACATGGGGTCCCTCCTAAGTATTCCTACCAGACCTTAAGGGCCTGGTATGACTTTTAGGGGGAACCCGACACACTTCTTTTTTTGTACATGGGGGTCCCTCCAGATCTTAAGAGCCTGGTATGATTTTTTTTAGGAGGAATCCTTAAAAAATTGGTCCCTCCTAACATTTCTACCAGACCTAAAGGGTCTGGTATTGTTTGGGCGGGGGGGACTGCACACTTTAAGATAATTTTTTTTTTCTTTAGAAATGTCCGTTTCTATACATCCTACCGATCCGCCACTTTACAGGCAGGTTAAGGGGACCCCCCAGGCATGACATTTGAAGGAATTTTTCATTTTTTTGCTTACCCTTTAAGTGATGTTAAAATCACTGCTCCTTTAAAAACGGTATTTTTTTTTGGCATTGATTCATGTCCCCCAGGGCAGTACCCGGACCCCCATACACCTTTTATGGCCAATAACCTGCATATAAAGGGGACATTCATTTCCTGAATGTTCGACCCCCATTGACTTGCATTGAGTTCGAGTTCGTATTTGAACATTTCGGCCGTTCGAATACGAACCGAACACGGGGGTTTTCGGCTTATCACTTTACACATTACATTAAACATCCGATAATCCCGCATTTTTATCATATTCTCAAAATGCATAAAGACACTAAGAACCCCCCTGGAAGACCAATTATAACAAGGATTAATAGCATGACCTAAAATATTGTACGGTACATAGATCATTTTCTGAAACCACTGGTCTGGGAATTAACCTCCGTTGTTCGGTATTCTACACATATGCTAGAGATCGTGTCACATCATCATTGGAAGGATACTTACATCTGGGCCTCTCTTGATGTCTCGTCACTATACACCTCAATAGACGACCAATTTGGGCCTCTCTTGATGTCTCGTCACTATACACCTCAATAGAAGACCAATTTGGTACTGTACAGCACTTTGTACCCCACTCAGGGCTGACAAATTTGGTGCAGGCCAATTTTGTACTGGAAGCTACAGCCATGGGGGCCAGGTTTGCCCCAAGCTATGCTAGACTGTTGGCTGTTGGCATGGGTTTTTGGGAAAAGAACTAGACTTTAGTTATTCCTCTCAATCTTGAGGAATATGAAAAATATTCTAAAATCCTCAAATATTTTTGGAGCAACTTCTAACCATACACAGTATGTTAATTCTACCTTATTTAGACTCCTAGGAGCGGGAGTCACAATAGTGTCTTCTAAGACCACCTCCTAGCGTGCAGTTGGACTTTTCTGTGCGTAATCCTCCACCACCATTAGGC